TGACTAGCCTACAAGGCTGGGAAAGTAGAATGGAGGCTGGGACCAGCTGGGCTGTATTCTGAAGAGGCATACATGTCTAACACTGTCAAAGGAAAAAGCTGTGATTCACATGCCAAGTCTAGGTAAAAAATCAGCTCAAATTTATTAGGAGCCAATAGTCTAATTTTTATTTTCAGTTCCTTGATTTCCAAGAGCCTCTGTGTTTAAATGATAATCTCGTTTTGTTTGCAGTACTGGGGATTTAACCTGGTGGTGCTTCACTGGGTAGGAGATTGTAGACACTTGGGTTTTCTTTTGTGTAAATCTAAGTTAGGACATTTTCCTATCCTCACAGTGTGGCCTCAGAGAGAACCCAGGGCAGGAATGAGGGTTGGTAATAGCTACATCCTGAGCCCTTTTTTAAATTTTGTGATGGTCTCACTAAGTTATCCAGAAGGGGCTTGAATTTGCTATCTCCTTCCTAAACCTCCTGAGTTGCTAGGATTACAGGTATGTGCCATAGCTTCTGGCTCAGGTAATGGTCTTTTTTACTCCACCTCTTCAATGGCTCAGGCCCACCTCCATTCCTGACAAGCACATGGGAAAGACTTTGCCCTACTGCTGACACTCAGAGAAAACCTCCCAAACAAAAGTGTAAGAGTCAGTCAGCATGCCACCACACAGCTCCAGGAGTCCTAACTTTCAGAAAGAGCACAGTGAACCTCAAGGAAAAAACAGTGTTGCCTGACTTACTTTTCATTTTATTTATACACATGCAAAATTACGGCAGACTTTTTTTCTTAGCAGTGCACTCAGTAATTGTTAAAGCAATTTTGTTGACTAAATGTCTGTTTTAAGTTCTAAAACTCTTACCTCTGAAGATCTGTACTTATTCTTTCTCCTACAGAACCGAAAGTTATTGCTAAACTAGTCAAGAATAAGAGCCAGGTGAGGTGACTACAACCCCAGCAATTCAAGTTTTGCAAATTCAAGACTAGCCTAGGTGACTTAGCAAGATCCTGTTGCAATTTTTTTTTAAGATGGGGAGGGGAGCTGGGGGTGTACTTCAGTGGTAAGAGTGCCTCTGGGTTCAATCCCCAGTACCTGGGGCRGGCGGGGGAGATGAATGAGAGCCATGATTAGTTAGACATCATAGGTCACAGAGGCCTCAGACATCCAGAAATTGACAGTCTCCTTCCAGACACATTCTGCTGGGCAAGACTCTTTATTGATTGATTGACTGATTTAGGTACTGGAGATCCTAAAATACTTAATCTCTTGTTTTGTTTTGTTTGCAGTACTGGGGATTTAACCCAGTGGTGCTTCATCACCAGTGGCACTTAATCACTGAGCTATTACCAACCCTTTTATTTTTAATTTTGAGACAGAGTCTTGCTAAATTGCTGAGGCTGGTCTCAAACTTGGAATTCTCCTGTCTTACCCTCGTAAGAGACTGGGATTAGAGACATGCACCATTGCACCCAGTTAGCAGAAACCGTTTTGAACTGGAGAAGTGAGTAACACAAGTCACCTGACAGAGTGATAGAAAATTCAAGACGGGACAGTATGCATTTACTACAGATACCAAAGCATCAGAGCACAGGCAATGATTCTTCCCAGTGCCCACAGATAGGTAAGCCGCTGTTCCAAGTGGATCTTGGAAAAGTTCAGAGAGAATCCTTACCGCTGATAAGGTAAAAGAATGATTGGGTGACTCTAAGGAATATTTCTGAAAGCAATTTTGTAGATATAACTTGAATAACATGAGAGAGCATCACTGTTAGCTGAACATCTCAACTGTATAAGTTAGTTGTTCTTTTCATAAAGTCTGAGACGTGTCTTTAACAGAAAACATCCTCTTTTAGTCATTACTTGAAGGTTTATACTTTACTGTGTCCCTTCATATCATTTTACGTATTCTCATCCCAACTCTTGGGCAGAACTGTATATGTAAAGGTCAGAATCTTGCAGCTTGCATGTGGTATGAGCTCCTGTTTCAAAGCCAATCATGGGCCATTTTACCTACACAAGGAATGCTACAACATAAAAATTTAAATTTCTTTGCTATTTTCTTTTCCAGAAATACATGAAGAATGAAAATTTAAAATATTCACTTTATACATGAGGTTACTACCAATTGTAAAAGTAAGATGAGACCAGGCACAGGGGCATACACCTGTAATCCCAGCACCTGGGGGTGCTGACACAGGAGGATTGCAAGTTCAAGGCCAGCCTCAGCAACTCAAGGCCCTAAGAAACTTAGTGAGACCCTGTCTCAAAATAAAAAAGTAAATTTAAAAAAGGGATGGGGATGTGGCTTAGTGGTAAAGCACCTCTGGGTTCAATCCCCAGTACCAAAATAAGTAAATAAATAAAAAGTAAGATGAGAGGTCAGGCTCAGTGGCTCACACCTCCAGCAACTGGAAACTGAAGCAGAAGGACCATATGTTGGAGGCCAGCTTCAGCAACTTAGCAAGACCCTATGTCAAAATAAAGGAGGCTGGGCGGGGGTGTTGTGGCTCAGTGGTAGAGCATTTGCCTCACTCGTATGAGGCTCTGGGTTCGATCCTTAGCACCACATAAAAATAAATAAATAAAAATATTGTGTCCATCTACAACTAAAAAAAAAATTTTTTTTTTAATTTTAAGGGCTGGGATTGTGGCTCAGCAGTAGAGTGCTCACCTCCCACATGTGAGACCCTGGGTTCGATCCTCAGCACCACATAAAAATAAATAAGAGAAATAAAAATATTGTGTCCAACTACAATTAAAAAATAAATATTTTTTTWAAATTTTAAATAAAATAAAAAGGGCTAGGGATATAGCTCAGGGTTCATAGTCCCTGGGGTTCAGTCTCCGGTACTACAAATAAATAAATAAATAGGTAGATTTATAGATAAATAATACACTGTAGTTAACTAGAGTGTAGAATTCTTTAAAAATAAACTGAGGGCTGGGGATGTGGCTCAAGTGGTAGCGCGCTCGCCTGGCATGTGTGCGGCCCGGGTTCGATCCTCAGCACCACATACAAACGAAAATGTTGTGTCTGCCAAAAACTTAATAAATAAATAAATATTTAAAAAATAAATAAATAAAAATAAACTGAAAGATAGGGTTGGCTGGGGGTATAACTCAGTGGTAGGGTACTTGCCTCATATGACCCAGGCCTCTGGGTTCAATTTCCAACACCAAAAACTAAATAAACAATCAAACTAAACGAGATTGGGGAAAATCAACTTTTTATGCAAGGAAAGGCTATTTCATTGGAACTTACATATAGAAAATAAAATCCAAGGGCTGGAATGTAGCTTAATTGGTAGAGTACTTATTGCTTTGGGTTCAATCTCCAGCACAAAAAAAAAAAAAAAAGAAAGAAAAATCCATGAGAAATCTATGGGAATTTCATTTTAAAAGTGAATAATCACACAGATGTTTTCCCATTCTGTAATGTAATTTTTTAAATCTCACACAAAGTTGTACAAATAATCAGAATGGAAAAAATCTAGGCTGCATTTGAGGGGAAAAAAGACCAAGTCAAGGAGCACTGTGCTTGGCCTTCAAACTTACTCTCCTGATCCTTGTCATGCTTCTCTGTAGTAGGTATTTCTGTGATCTCCATTATTCAAGCAAGTTTAAGTAAGGAAAGAAGTAGCTTGTCCAAAGTTACAGATCAGAGAGCCTGACTTAACTCAGTCCATCTCATGATCATTAGGGAGACTAGAACTGGGAGCTGCATAGAGATGTGGCCCATACAAGGGAAGATGCTTGGCCTTCATCCAAAAGTATAACTTCTCTGCCCACAGACACCAGCTCTACTTTATTTATTTACCAGCTCTACCTGTTTTCACCAATTAAGTTAAGGCAGGTTTCATAACTATTGCCAGTGCCTATCAATGATGAGTGACTCTTTCTGTGTTAGACTTGCATTGCTACCCTTAAATGAAGCCTCAATCCCACTATGATTTGAGGTACATATGTAATAGTGGGAACTAAATGAAAGGAACAGGAAGAGGGTTCAAAACAGGTACATTAATTAAAGGGAGAATATTAATACCAAAATTTCAAAGCAGAGCAGATTTATACTGTATTTCTTGAGAGACTGTGCAAGACAGTTCCTCAAGTCTAGAAGACCCAAGTTTTACCCAGCAGCCTGGGAGACCTGGACAATCTACAAATCATCTGGCTRGCTGGACAAAGCCAAAGAATCTCCTATGAGTGAATTTTACTTGTTTTTTGAGTTTTTTTGTTTTTGTTTTTTGTCTGCAGTGCTGGGAATGAAACCTAAGGCCCCAAGAATGCTAGATAAGCACTCTACCACTGAGCTACACCCCTGGCCCTCAATGAATTTTAAAATAAGGCCAGATACTATTTTTTTTTTTGTACTAGGTATTGAACTCACAGGTGCTTTACCACTGAGCTAAATCCCTGGCCCTTTATATTTTGAGGGTCCCACTAAGTTGCTTAGGGCCTTGCTAAGTCGCTGAAGCTGGCCTCGAATTTGTCATGTTCCTGCGTCAGCCTCCCCAGCCACTAGGATTATAGGTGCACACCACCGCAGTGGGCAGCCAGATACTTTATTGTAAACTGCCTCTTCCCATGAGCTAGCTAGCTCATGAGTACCTTAGCCCACAATGTGATTCTCATTTCCTACACAAAGATAGGTATATAATGACAGTGAAGAATAGAATGGTATAAATAAGGAATTTCATGTAGAAATAAGGAAATAAAAGATCTGATTTGCCTTAGTCAGAAAAAAAGGCAAAAAAAAAAAAAAAACCCAACCAGAATCACACTTACAGGTATACTGTTGAAAATCCAAACTATAAAATTCATTACCTGCCACTATTACAACATTTACAAAAAAAGGACATCTTGAACAAAGGCTTATATGATGTTGACGAAATCATCTTGGAGTGCATGATTTATAAATACATAAATATCCATGCATACTTTTACAGTGGTAGCTACTGGAAGAATAATGACTTCTATAAGCCAATCTAGACATTCCTTTTTCATTCCAACTGCCTCTACCAGGAGTCTAGAGCTGCTGTGGTCACTGTCACATTCATTCCAGCCTCCTCTCTAAGCCTGTGGCCCATGATGAAAATGTGATACATCTTCTCCTTAGCTTTGATGCTGAGAGGGAAAAAAAGAAAAGGTTATATAGCCATGCAGTCCAGTGAATCGAATTCATCTTCATAAATTAAAATATAGCAGTGATATAATATTTATGTACTATCCAGATGGTAAGTCTACTCAGAAATTATTAATATTTTACTACATACAGAAATTTTAGCAAAACATTGACCACATCATCCATTTCGAAGCCAGAATCTAATTTTCTTGTCTTGTCTCTTGCAATCTATAAATGTTCACAATTTAAAGCGGTAACGGAAATACTTGAAATGCACCTTCATGCTCTCCAGTGAAGGGTTCTAAAAGCAGAATCACACAAACACTTTTTGGTCTAAATTAAAAGTAGATTCAGGTAGTAATTCACAACATCTCACACTGAGTCAGGGTATTTAGGAGATGTGAAGGTTATATATTTCTGGAGTTCACACTATTACAAACTGTAAAAGCATGTCTTCAAATAGTGGTGAACTGAAGCAGATATATTCTTTCTGGGGACTCTCTAGCACCTTTGGTAAATTTAAACTTGGCTTTAGACAAATTTTAAGCAGGGTGTGTGTGAAGAAATCACTTTGGCTGTCACCTTGTATTTGAGTGGATTTCCTTAACATTTAGCAATGAATCAATCTGAGAGTCTTTTGAGTAATCAGAGATTTCAAGGTATGACCTATTTCTTAGCTAAGCCAGTCTTTTTAAGCGATGATAAAATGAAATTCCTCAACAAAAGCAAAATATAAGAAATCTTTCTCCTTTTGGAAGAATGCAGTTATCACCTAAAAAAACAGTCTAAAGAAGAATAGTCCTCTCAGTTATCTCTCAGATTTCCAACAGGACAGACCCCCAACTACAACAGTACATCAGTTGCCACTGATATAGGTTGCTAAAAGTACAGTGTTTTGATACTAGGGATTGAACCCAGAGCTTTACCGCTGAGCTACATCCCCATCCCTTTTTATTTTCTATTTTAAGACAGTTGCCCAGACTAGCCTCAAACTTGTGATCCTCCTGCCTCAGCCTCTGGAGTTGCTGGTATTACAGGCATGCACCACCATGCCCAGCCACAGTACAGTCTTTTCCACAAGGTACTAGCAATTGATTCAACCATCCTGGGCACTAGATGAAAATATTGGCTTCTTTTGACTTCTAACAGATTAAAAGTAGCTTCACTGAGCATATTTTTTATCTTGAGATGTAAGATCTCCTCTGTATTAATGAGTCTGACAGATTGAATTTGTTTTAGATATTCAGCAATACTTGTCAATACTTAGAACATGGCTACTCTCACCAAAGCATTACCTCAGAGCTTACCAAGACTGGGCATAATGCATAAAAAAAGTGCCTCTTGAAATGTAGGCACACTGGTTTTTYTAACTTTTTTTCCACATTTCATCTATGGTCCCTTTTCATACTGCAGTTTTTCCTCTTGGGAATATACAAATATTCTCAGGAAAAATTGACCAAATAATTAAGTTTGACAACTTGTTTGAGCCAGTAAGGACAGCTTCCTAGTCAATCACTCCTTTCTCCGTTATTAAGACACTATCTTGGAAATATTAACTCTGACAGTCATGGCAATGCCACTCTTCCCTTAGTCAGCTGCTCCTCTTTGTTAATTATCACTTTTTAACAGGTGAGCTGGGCAACCACACATGCTTCAAGCAGGTGCTTCTGGATAGTGGTTGGATAATCAAGATTGTTTGCTCAATATATTTGTGTTTGAAACCCTCTTTCACAAGAGAAAATCATACACTGCAACTRTTTATCAAATCCCACCTGTCAAAGACCAATACTCATTTCTCATATTAAAAAAAAAAAAAAAGGTTGAACAGACCACAGAAATGTACTTGCCTCAAAATTGCAGAATAGCCAAAAAGTATTTTTAAAATCTTACTGAGGGCTTAAGTCTCTAAGTCATCATCACTGTCTGGCCTTGAGATACCAACAATGCCAGGCGATCACTTCCACTTGCTAGCTAGCTTTAAAACCCAACTGATCTCTAATTTTAGAGCTAAGAATCAATTCTGGGCAGTACAACAATGGACATTTTCAGGTGTATGGCTTAACATCAGGGTTTTTTCCCCGACTCAGGGCTGGCACTATTGCCTAATGTTTCACAGCTTCTTCTATAACATGCAGAAACTGCAGATAAGGGGCAAAACTGCTGTGTAGGCCCTGTGGCTCTTTCCAGTGTGTTTGCAGAGCGGTCTTCAGTGGAGGGGATAGTCATGGCACACAGGTGGATGGCCTGTTCTCAGGATGGGCTCATCTAGACGGGCTTTTGTTTTGTTAGTGGTGCTGAGACTGGAACTCAGAGCCTCATGAATGCTGGACAAGTGCTCTGCCACTGAGTCACATCCCCAGCCCCCTAGAAGAGTCTTAACTGCAAAACTCAAAGTACCCTCTAAGAATCTCACTTTTCAGGAGCAATGAATTTCATTTTCAGTATGACCAGAAGTCTAAAATTAAACTTGGTTACAAAGAAAACATTAGTTTCATATAAAGGAAGTTAAAACACACCTAATCCGTAAAAGTATAGAATTATGGCCCCCATGCAGGCTTTTTCCAGGTAGCACTGCTTTTAGGAATGATAAGCCCAAGCCTGAGGATTCTGCTCTGGAGACTCGATTTATGTAAAGATAATATCAAAAAAGCATCCCAGGGCTGGGGGTGTGGCTCAGGCCGTAGCACGCTCGCCTGGCATGCGTGTGAGGCACTGGGTTCGTTTCTCAGCACTGCGCATAAMTAAATAAAATAAAGGTCTATCAACAACTAAAAAAAATTTTTTTAAATCTTTTTTAAAAAAAGCATCCCAGGGCATGGGCTCTACACATTTTTAAAGGGAAAGACCCCTTTWCAGTTTAGACATATCCTGCCAGGCATGGTGGCACACACATGTAATCCCAATGGCTCAGGAGGCTGAGGCAGGAGGATCTAGAGTTCAAAGCCAGCCTCAGCAATTGTGTGAGGCCCTAAGCAACTCAGCGAGACCCTATCTCTAAATGAAATACACAAAAGGGCTGGGGAATGCCCCTGGTTTCAATCCCAGGTACCAAAAACAACCCCACAGTTTAGACAGATCCTTCCCAATGTATACACACTTCTATGGATAATGTTGAGGACATGAAAATCTCTTTAGTCTCTTTCTGGGATCTACAGCCCAAATATCATGGAGTGTTCTAATGTCTAATAGCCCAGCAGGACTGGAAAGAGTATAGCTACTGTTCAGAAAACCAAGACAGAGAAGTAAAATGGCTAACTAACGTAAGAAAAGCAGATCTGAAGGACAGCCAAAAACACCTTAGGAACAAAAACAAGGAAAGACTGCCACAAGCAGTTAGAAAATGATGGATCACCCCTGCCTCATGGGGTACAGTCTGACAGCCAGCAACCATCTAGCTCCTTCCTGGCTGGCCCCCCTCACCACTCTGGAACACCTAAGGATTTTTTAAAGTATTATATGAAAGGCTCCAAAAAGTCCAAAACTACCAATTCACATGGCTCCCTGCTATATATTAGCAGCTGATTTTAAAAATAAAATAGCATCTCAAAAACCAACCTGAATCTTCTGACCCCAGGTTTAGATTAAAAAACTAATAAAAGAATGTTTTATTTTAAGGAAAACAAACCAGAAATCAAGTTTGGGAATAAAATGCCTTTCTAGGCAGCTGAGGATTCAACTATTCAAAAGAGGACCTCTTTATGTGCCCTGACCCCTAAAACATGCCAATTGGGGTGAAACAAGAGCTTACCTATGGCTGAAGATACAACTAAAAAGGGGCCAGAAGCTTTTTATTGCTTTGGTTAATTTTGGGAGTATTTTCTGAGTGCCTGTTGCAGTTATAAGGACTAAAACATCAGGCATCATCAATATCACAATCTGCTGGGGCAAATGCCCCAAGGAACTTTAGAAGATAAGGGAGCAATTAGTTTTGCTATATGAGGAGACTGGGAAAAATGTGAAAAATGCATGTTTTGAGGGTTATTCTGGAAAAGTAGCTGGGAAACCCCACCCCATCTCCTCCACAGCCCTATCCTCTCCATAGCTGCAGCTCCAGGGTACAGATACAAGACCCTAAGCAAGAGCTCACCTGTCCAATCCCAGAGCCTCAGGTTAAACCAACCCGGCAGACTAGGGAGCAGCTATGGGATCTGGACATTACTCTAGCCACATTCCTTATCAAGTCAGAGAGGCCAAACACCTGAAGGTCCAGCCCTCACCTGAAGGGGCACTGATGCACTAATTTGTTACCAACAAGATTTTTTAACAATTGGGAAACTTTTGCACTAGTCTAGCCAACAGTTTCCTTAAAATCAAGAAAAAAACTTAAAATGGAGTATACGTAGACAAACCAAAGAGGTTGAGTTTAGGTATTATTCCACCAACAATGCATAACTTATTAAGGTGGGTTGTTAGCTAGTTATAAAAATGTTTATACCAATTGCAGGGAAATAAAACTGAAAAGGCATAGAACTGTGGAATAATAAACAAGGTATTCAAAAACCAGTATACCCCAGGGCTTGGGTTATAGCTCAGAGGTAGAGTGCTTGCCTTGCATGTGTGAGGCACTAGGTTTGAGCCTCAGCACCACATGAAAAAATAAATTAATTAAATTAAGGTATTAAGTCCATCTACAAGAAAAAAAATAACATAAAAACCAGTATACCCCAATATGTGTCATCAAAGCAGGGACCATTAAATCTACACTTTTTCATCAAATGCACTTGGATATCCTGTTTACCTTTTTCATTAATTCACTTCTGGTAGTAAACTGTGGCAGGTCTTCCACTTCAATACCATCAGCCATTTCCATCACCTTGTCTAGAAGGTCTTTATTGTAACTGCACAATAAAAAGTAGTACRGTAAAAACCTTGGAAGAATTACTAGTCACTGTGGGTTAATAAGAAATTGCAAGTTACTAGACTATAAACTTAAATCTAGAAGTATTAAATTTTTCTTTTTTTAAAGAGACAGAGTCTTACTGCTGGGCATGGTAACACACACCTGTAATCCCAGAAACTCAGGAGGCTGAGGCAGGAGGATCACAAGTTCAAGGCCAGCCTCAGCAACTTAGTGAGACCCTGTCTCAAAATAAAAATAAAAAAAGGTTAGGAATGTACTCAGTGGTAAAGTATCCCTAGGTTCAAACCCCAGTACGAGAGAGACAGAGAGAGAGAGAGAGAGAGAGAGAGAGAGAGAGACAGGCAGGCATAGGGTCTTGCTGTTATCCAGGCTGGCCTAGAACTCCTGTGCTCAAGTGATCCTCCTACCTCAGCCTCCTTAATAGTTGGGACTATAAGTACAGGCCATTGTGCTGGGTTCTTCTGTGGACTAATTTGATACTGTCAGGGAAACCTATATATATGTTCAGCACAAGGTTAGAAAATAGTTCTTCCTCTTTTGGGGTACAGAATTAGGCTTTGGAAATGCCAATAAGAGCAGATGTTTCAAGATTTTCAAAAACAGAGGCACCATATGTCTGGCAGTACATATTCATGAATATGGTATGAGGGCAAAAAAAATATTTTTTATTTTAAACATCTAGAATGTTGTCTAATGAAAACAGCATCACTTGTTCATTTGCTCAATTCTCTGACATCTGTCTAATCTTGAACCTATTAACCAAGAATACCCAGGGGTACATAGAAGGCAGAAAGGAGAGAAGTGTATGTCTGGGATGGGTTAATCTGGTATATCCTATTCTAATAAATCCCAATATCTGGGGTTGGGGGTGTAACTCAGTGCTAGAGCATGTGCTTAGCATGCAAGAGGCCCTGCATTCAACCTCCAGCACCAAAACCAAAACCAAAGCAAATCCAAGTGGGTTGACCTGGAGGGGTCATGTGACCAGAGTCAAGCAAGATACAGAAACCACCACCAAACCAAGTCATTCTTTTCTAACTTCAAGAAACTGTAAGAGGGTAGAAGGGATCCTCAAGATCTCTGCCTTCTTCATAATGGGGTCAAAAAAGGGTCAATCAGGCATTTCAAAAGCAGGACCTTGCTCTCTTGATGCAGTTGCCAAGAAGCAGTGGACTTTGGAACCTTCACAAAAAGATAAGTTCAAAAAAGTTCATTAAAGGGAAGGCAAAAAAGTAAACCTAGCTCCTGCTCAGGATCAAATAGTCTGGGGTTTGGRGAGACAAAGTCCTGGGACACAGATCCTACCATCGTGGTATAAAATCTACCAATCCTGCCAGAAGCTGCATGCCCTACAAAAATCACTTCCTCTCCCTCAGCCTCTTCATCTGATGGCGGGGGAGTCTTTTTCAGTCTATGCACTTTTGCCTTGTGAGTGAAAGGAGCAAATGGACTTAAAACGCACTCTGAAAAGGTAGTGATCTGAGCTAGTAATTAGTAATACTGATAAGAGCAATGTGGCAACTCTCGAGCCCACCGTGTACTAAGCTGTTCGTCTTTTAATTCCTGTAGCCATCATAACCACCCATTTACCAGATGAGGAAACTGAGGCTCAGAAAAAAATTAAGCATCTTTCCAAGGGGCTGCAAGGTGGAAAGGAGCCGGTGGAACAGCCAGTGCGATGGGAGGTTGGGGACGGGTTGAGTCTGGGACAGAGGTTTTGGGTCAGAGGGCTGAGGGTCGGCAGGCAGGGAGCAGGGTCAGCCGGCCGGCAGGGGTCCGCACCTGCAGCCCAGGAAAAGATGGTTGGCCCAGACCATGGAGAGGGACAGCAGCTGGTCCAGGCGGCCGCCGCCGTCGGGCGGGTCGCGGTAATCAGGCAGGTGGCGCAAGATGAATTCCATGCGGGCCTTCCATTGCTTCTCGCTCTCAGAGTAGGAGCGGAACTGCTCGGCGAAGTCGGCCGCTTGCCGCACCCCGGAAACCAGCTCCTCCACCGCTGCAGCCGCCTCGCCACCCACCATGGCTCGCGCTGCAGCCGAGGGCCGGATCCTCCCGCCGCTTTCCCGACGCACACCGCGCCACCGCCCGGCTGCTAGAGGGGCCCCGGCGGCACGCGACTGCTCTGGAGGACCGGCCTGGAGCGCCCTCGCCGGGCCCGGCGGCGTACCCCGGCTCTGCTCGCCGCGCCCGAGGCTTCCCTCACACCTCCGCAGCCTGCCGCGGCTGCCGAGTGGGTGTACTCTGGACTGCAAGGGCGGCTCGGGATCGACCCCACGGAGAACCGATGGGAAAACTGAGGTCCGCCAGTGGAGTCCAGGCACCCCCACCTCCAGTGGGCAGCTGGATGCCAAATAGAACTGTGCTGTGTCCTTTTTGCCCTGCGAGGTCTCCAGGCACCGCCCTATCCTGAGCGACAGCAGAGGCCTGTGCCACAGAGGGATGCCCTAATTTCTGGGGATCTATACATGTAGCTGCCTGGGGTCTCTCTTTGATTTATTCCCAGGGGTCTTAACACCCCACTCAGGTTGAGGCCTGAAGTAAGTAATCCATCCAATGAATACTTGCCAGACACTTTGCTAGGTGCTGAGGATAAACTAGAGCAAACTCAAAGCCCTGCTCTGGCAGCACATGCCTGTAATCCCAGCGGCTGGGGAGGCTGAGGCAGGAGGATCACAAGTTCAAAGCCAGCCTCAGCATTTGAACGAGGCCCTAAGCAAYTTAGTGAAACCCCTTTAAGAAAGTAGATACGCATTCAAGGGATAATACAGGCCATCTCAAGAGTAAAATATATTTTGGGGAGATTCTCAACTCTTGGGGGGGGGGCAGTATTTAGGATTGAACCCAGGGACACTCTGCCACTGAACTACATTCCCAGACCTTGTTATTTTATTTTTGAGACAGACTCTCACTAAATTGTCCAGGCTGGATATGTAGGAATGATATCAGACTGGTGATCTCAAGACGGGTTCTGGTGGTTTGGTCAATCTCTTAGGCTAATATGGTCTTCATTATCTGATCAATAGATAGCACTTGAAAGTCTCCTGAATTACATGTTCCTCAAACTATGTTATCTCTCTTTGCTTAATCTCTTTAGGGTGATAATTAACAGTGTACAGGTAGATTTACAGATTTCCCAGGAATTTGGGAGTAACAGGCCTGGAAGGGAAGCGGATTTAGGGAATGATAGAACTTCTGAATTCAAATCTTTTCCTTGTCCTTCCTACCTACCTGTTTCTTATTTCTTCTACCTCATGAAGACTAGCACCAGGCTCAGCAACATCTGACTACATTAATAGGAAGGCATGCTACTCATACTCCAGCAAGAAGAGGTGTGAACAGAGTATGAAACCAAACACAGATGCAGCTTCTTCCCTGCAGTCTAGATTAGGTGCCCAGAGCTACAGTTCCTAAAATGCAGATCACACTTCCTTATAGTCTTATTAATATGGCAGATTCCCAAGCATGCTCAGAATCAAGGCTCCAGACAATTCACACCAAATGTGAAAAGCATTCAATAAACAGAAACAGTGGCAAATACCTAGAGTTCAGGGCCATCCTGGGCATCATATTGAGATCCCATCTCTAAAGAGAGAGAAAGAGAAAGGAAAGAAGGAAGGAAGGAAGAAAGAAAGACAAACAGTGTTGTCGAGGATTCTCTGAGTCAAATTCTTGGTCACCTGATTATACAGTGCAGAGGATGGACCAGAAACAGGAATCCAGACTTTGTGAACTGCAGCTATAGCTATACAGTCAACCCAACCTATAGGATGGGAAAATACTGAGGGTCATGCAGCAACTAATTTATTTAGCATAGTCTTTGGCAATCAATGATGCGGCATATGTATATACATACACATATATGCAAGCAAATTTAGACATGTGTTTTAAGAATGAGAAGCACATTAATAGGCCAGGCACAGTGGCACATGCCTGTAATCCCAGCAACTCAGGAACTGGGGCAGGAGGATCACAGGTTCAAGGCCAGCCTCAGAGATTTAGCAAGGTCTTAAGCAACTTAGTGAGACCCTGTCTAAAAATTTAAAATAAAATGAAAAGGGCTGGAATGTGACTCAGTGGTTAAGTGCCCTGGTACCAAAAAAAAAAAAAAAAAAAAAAAAAGTGCACTAACAGGTATTCATTTTTTGTAATGTGAAATTGTTAACATTTTACATCGAAATATGAAGTAGTTTTAAAACTTTAGTATTAAACTGGGTATGTGGTGGCACACTCCTGTAATCTCAGTGGCTCAGGAGCCTGAGGCAGGAGGATCCCCAATTCAAAGTCAGCCTGAGCAACTTAGCAAGGCCCTGTCTCTAATTAAAATATTTTTTTAAAAAGTGCCAGGGATGTGGCTCAGTGGTAAAATGCCCCTGGGTTTAATCCCTGSTACCAAAAAAACCCAAAAAACTTTAGTGTTAACATTTCACAAAAGACCAGTTACTAAGCAGTTTATTGTTTCTAACTTGTTTTTATGATTCAAACTTTTTTTTCTTTTTTGGTACCCGGTATTGAACCCAGGTGTGCTTTACCACTGAGCTACATCCCAGCCCCTTTTTGTTTTTTATTTTGGGACAGGATCTTGCTAAGTTGAAGAGGTTGGCTTTGAACTTGTGATCCTCCTGCGTTAGCCTCCACAGTTGCTGGTATTACAGGTGTGCACCAGTTGGACTGGCTATGACTGAGACTTTCTTAAAGTACTTACTAAGAAAGACAAAGTCAGTTTCACCACCTCTTTTTTTTTTCTTTTCCAATCATTTAAAAAGCTTAAAATTAGCTTAAAATTCTGGCAAAAACAGATTACAGGCTACCTCTGACTCTAGGTCAGTCTGCCAACCTTGCTATGGCTTAGGGTAAGTCTTAAAATCAGGTTGTAAAAGTCTCACAACTGTGTTCTCTTATGAAATTGTTAAAACAATAGTTTTGACTATTTTAGTCTGTTTTTTGTTTGTTTGTTTGGTTGGTTGGTTGGTTGATTGGGTATTTTTTAGTACCGGGGATTGAACTCAGGGGACCTAACCACTGAGCCACATCCCTAGCCTATTTTGTATTTTATTTAGAAACAGGGTCWCACTGAGTTGCTTAGGGCCTCGATTTTTTAAAAATATCTTTTTAGGTGTTGATAGACCTTTATCCTATTTATTGATATGTAGTGCTGAGAATTGAACCCAGTGCCTCACACATGCCAGGCAAGTGCGCCACCACTGAGCCATAGCCCCAGCCCCTTAGTGCCTKGATTTTGCTGAGGCTGGCTTTGAATCCTCCTGTCTCAGACTCACCAGCCACTGGGATTACAAGCATGCACCATCACGTCTGGCTAGTCTGTTGCTTTTTCAATATAAATTTTAGTATCAGTTTGTTAATTTGGGGGAAGACAGGTGGCTGATATGTTAATTGGTATTGTATTGAACTTATAGATTAATTTGAGGAGAATTAACATCAATTAAATCTTCTAATCCATAAASATGGTATGGTATATCTCTCCATTTATTTATGCCTTCTTTTTTAAAATTTTTAGTTGTAGATAGACATAATATCTTTAGTTATTTATATGGTACTGAGAATCGAAGAACCAAAGCGCTCTACCACTGAGTCATAACCCCAGCCCATATTTATGCCTTCTTATTGTTGTAATGTACTTTTAAATCCAATGAAATACCCAGGCCCAATGGTGGATGCCCATAATCCCAGCGACCTCCGAGGCTGAGGCAGGATGATTACAAATTTGAGGTCAGCCTCAGTAACTTAAATCCAGGAAAACATTAGATTTACACCTATATTTACCATTTTAGGTGTTCATCGTTCCTTATCTAGCTCTTACCTTCCATCTGATTTCATTTTCCTTACACCTGAAAATTTTACATTAGAATTTGTTTTAGTACAGGTCTGCTGGTTCTGAACTCTCTCTTTCCATTTGTCTGTCTAAAAATATCTTTATTTTGCCTTCTGTATTAGTTATATGGCTATATAACAAATGACTACAACATTTAGAGACTTAAAAAGATAATCAGAAATTCAGGAGTGGCTTATCTGGATGGTTCTGGCTCAATATCTGATGAGGTTTCAGTCTACTTGTTATCTGGTACTGCGGTTATGTGAATTTTTGCCTGGGGCTGGAAGATCACCTCCAAGATGGCACACTCACATAGTTATTTGTAGCAGGTCTTAGTTTTCCACTGCATGAATCTCTACACAGGGTTGATGAGGGTCCTCACATGGCAGGGTCTTCAGAGAAACTGAACCAAGAAAGAGGAAGACAAAGCCAATTTTTTTTTTTTTTTTTTTTGTACCAGGGATTGAACTCAAGGGCACTTAGCCACTGAGCCACATCCCCAGCCCTTTATTGTATTTTAGAGACTCACTGAGTTGCTTGGGGCTTCACTAAATTTCTGAGGCTGGCTTTGAACTCATGATCCTCCCTGCCTCAGCCTCCTGAGCTACTGGGATTACAGTTATGTGCTACCATGCCCAGCCCMAAAATATTTTATTGCTTTGGATTCACAGGTCACATACCATCACTTTTTTAAAAAAAAATTATTTATTTATTTATTTATTTAGGGTGCTGGGGATTGAACCTAGAATTACTTTACCATTGAAGCACATCCCCAGTTCTTTTTACTTTTTGAAACTAGTTCTCACTAAGTTGCTTAGGGCCTCACTAAATTGCAGAGGCTGGCCTCAAACTTGTAATCCTTCTGCTTCAGACTCCCAGGTCACTGGACATACCATCACTTTGATTATTCTATTCATTAGAAGTGAGGCACTAACCAGGTATACACCTGTAATCCCTGCAACTAGGGAGGCTGAGGAAGGAAGATCACAAGATCAAGGTCAGCCTCAGCAATTTAGTGAGGTTCTCTCTCTCAAAAAAAAAAAAAGTAAAAAAAGGGCTAGGGGGGTGGGATGTAGCTCAGTGGTTCAAAAAAGTACTTGATTGTATCAAATACAATTTCATTATTTACAAAGATAATCATGTTATTTTCTATTTAGAACTATTAATATTATGACATATTGGCAGGTTTTAGAATATACAGTCAAATTTCCATTCCTAAATG